CCTAGTGGGTGGACATGTAATACAAATAAAACAAAGGAGTAACAATCTCCCACTTTTCTTAAAAAAAAAAAAAACTTATGAGAAAACACAGCCATTAAGGATTTTGTCAGAACAGTCTCAACGTAACAGAAAGTGAAACATCTTATGACTGAATTTATTGAAGAATCCAAAGTCCTTCATAAAGAGCCCTAAGGAGTGAGGTTGCGGATGCTCCCTTCTTTGTTAAACAGTCTGCAAGTTGGTCTTTTGTTTGAGACCACACCACTTGATGAACCTTCTTAGTTTGCATCAGTTCTTTAATTGAACTGATTTCCAGGCGTAACCTCTTCTCTGCAACAAACTTTGTTGACTTAAGTGCATCAACAAGAGAGAAATTATCAGTCACACAGATTATAGGTGGAGGACAAGCAGTACTACCAGCACTGAGTTCAGAAAAGAGTGTGGAAAGAAAAATGGCATTATCAATCCCCTCAGACATGGCGAGTGTTTCACCTGCCAGTGTGCTTCTGACAATTCTCTTAATTCTCTTTGACTGCCATGCAATGGGATAGAACCGCCCGTTGTCACCCATCAAAACAATGAAGTGCCCACCTTGAGTACCTCCATCTGAAAGATTTCCAAAAGATGCATCAGTGAATATAACCATCTTTAAGTTACTGTCGTCCCCAAGGTGTTGAAAATTCAATTCAACAGACTTGACCTTGAGCTTACACACAACTCTGTTTGCTTCATTAATGGTCTGTACTGTAGCATGTTTGAGACGGGATGCTAAATTACTAGCATCAAACATGACATCAGGCCTGCTCTGTCTTGCCACCCACAGAAGTTGGCCTATCTTAGATCTGAGCTGCTCTGTCTCCTTCTCAGTGAGAGGTGAAGCTGACTCTGCTGCTCGTGAGGGTGAGAGGTGTATGGACTGCAGGTGCTGAATGTATGTTTCTTGGTGTATTTGTACTTTCTCACCTTCAGTAACAAGATCTACACCCACATAGGAAAAGTTATTGTGTGCTTCACGACCGACATTAAACGTTGACCTCAGGTGYGGCATGACTGACTCTGAAAACATATGTGATCCACCCCATATAAAATCATCAACATGACAAGCAAGTACACCAGTTACATTTTTMCGCTCATCCAGCCAATAGAAAACTGCAGGGTCAACCTTAGACATGATGCCTCCTGCTTCAATCATGATGCTTTTTACCCTGTTATACCAATACAGTYAAGCATCAGCTAAACCATACACACATTTTCTCAGTTTCCAAAGCACACCTGTGCTATTAGCCTCTCGAGGAGGTTTGATGAAAATGTCTCTGGACAGTTGCATTCCTTGTAAAAAGGCAGATTTAATGTCCATAGAGTGAAGTTCCCATTGTTTTTGACATACKACTGCCACCAAGAGTCTCAGTGACTCTGAGGCACAGGTTGGAGAGTCCTTTTGTAGGTCAGAAACTTGTAGCTCCTCYAATCCTCGTGCAACAAGTCTTGCTTTTGGTATTATTCCATTTTCAGTCTCTTTCAGAGTGCACACCCAACGAGTAGAGACACACTTTTGTCCTTTGTCCTCAATTTCTTCAAACACTTGGTTCTGTTTCCAGCTATTTATTTCATTTTTCTRTGCTTCATCAAACGATATGTCCTTGCTCACACAAACATCCTCGTGCATATCTGTATCCTCAGCATCTGCCTGGATGTGAAGATCCTCCAACTGTGACAGGTCAGCTGACTCACTGTTGCCAGCCACTTCTGCTGGCTCAAGCAGCTCCAAGTTAAACCAGTCCTTGTATTTCCCAGTTGCTTTGCCGGCACGTCCCAACACTTTGGCTTTTTGTGAAACACCCTCTGCATTTCTAAATGTCACAKTTTGACCTGCCTTTATGACGGTGTTCTCAGAGTGCGGTCTCTCAGTCTCTGCATTTTCAGGAGCAGGCAAATGATGATTTTCAGGATTTACTGCAATAGTGTCTCCTTCTACATTCTCTTCAATGATGTCCATTGTGTGTTGTTCTCGATTGTTCTTCTCATCGCAGGCAATCTGAGGTTCTTCATTCTCATGAGTAACTTTCCTCAATCTGAGTTGATGGACTCTGACACAGGTGCCTCCGTGTCTAACAAAAACGACTGCGCCATCTTGACCAATCACCACTCCTGGTCCTTTCCATTCTGGACAATCCACTCTTTTGTAAAAMACTTTGTCTCCAGTTTCATATCGCTCGTCTATGGGCCGCATCTGTTTCTTTAGTGCTCTCCGTATCCTTTCTGAACATTCTGCTTCTGAAAAAGCTTTTCTTGCAGCATGCAAGGCTGAAATGTGRTTGGCAACCCATTCACTCTTGGTGGTGCCCTCTAGAGCTGGAGCTTTGTCTATTAATACAGAAGGCAGGTTAGGATTCTGCCCGAACACCAGCTGATGTGGGCTGTATCCATGGACACTTTGCATAGAGTTCTTTGCCATCAGGGCCCAGTCCATGGCAGTGCTCCAGTCACATCCAGTACTTGCTTTGACTTTTAGCAAGATCTCTGTCAGAGTTTGATTGTGGCGCTCTAACAGTCCATTGCTCCATGGACTGTAAGCAGGTGTTGTCTTGACTTCAATATTGAAGTTCTCGGCCATGTCTCTCACTTCCTCGTTATTGAATTCACCACCATTGTCACTGAACAACTTTTGTGGTGGGCCATGCACACTGATCCAATCATGAATAAAACGTCTGACTATTTCAGAAGACCTCTTGGTGGTTAAGACACTACCAGCACTGAAACGGGTGAACTGGTCAATAATGTGTAGGTACCAAACCCCAGGTTCAAGTTCGTGCAGATCTACAGCAACAGTTTCATTGTATGTGGATGCCAATGGTAAGCCGACAGCAGGTTTTGGTTTGGTCTTACAATATTTTTGACACACTTCACACTGGTTCACGATGTTTTTTAGCAGACTGTCACATTCTGTGTCCTTGTTGCCAGAATTAGTCAAAAGTCTCTGTATTTTGTCAGCAGAGGCATYTCCAAACTGTTTATGAAGTTTCTCCAGAACTTTCATCTTTTCACTTGTGTTCATCTTGTCTGTTGTAGTCAGTATTTCTTCCTCATTAGCTTGCAATAGCTTATCAGAGTGAATGAAACTTCTATTCTCACTGTCCACAATGTTTACACAGTAATGACCTGAACTAGTGAAGTCCAGTTTGACAGGCTGGTTGAACATCGCTACACTGTCCCTTTCCATGTCCAAAACAGTCCCTGCCCTTTTCAATGAGGTCTAATGG